TCTAAATAACATAAAAGGTAATGCTTTATAAAACCGAATCAAGCCAAATTTCCATTACATATGTCTTAAACGATAGGGAATATTCTTACACTGTTTTGGAAGTTTTTTTTTGGATTCGTAACTTAAGTGGAAAAAAAAACAAGAAAACTACATAGGGTAAGTTAAGTTTGGAACAATAGAAAAGCGCAGGATAAGTAAAGCTAGGTTTATAACATGTAATAAAACACCAAAAGCAAACTGAAAAGGTTAGGTTTGGAACATTTTTAATACCATAAAAAAACATCGAAAAAGCGAAAATATTTTCTATTATAACACGTGATTTTATAAAAATTGTGAGTGTCAGCATACCTGTTACAAAACTGAAAACATATGAAACAATTTTAATATCTTAATGAAATAAATTAAGACCCCGAAAAAAAATCTTCATAGCAATATATTCATCTTCAGCAATCTTCATAGCAATAATACTCATTATGATCATTTCCTAAAGTTTAAAATTGATTTTATGAAAACTTGGTTTGATTCGCTGTTGTAAAGTTGTTCCAAATAATATTATTATTCAAATGTTAAAAGACTTTGTTTATTGTTGTGTTTGGGTTGGACTTTAAAATGGGAGTGTGACTCGCTTTCCAATGACAAATTGACCGAAATTTATTATTATAAAGTACACATCTTTAGGTTTGTTTATAATAAAATTATGAATAACATCAACAATATGTGATTTAATAAAAATAAAGATATCTGTAATAGTTTATTTTTCTATTTAAACTAAGTTACCAGCAGTTACATCCAACCTCTGAAGTTTTTGTAACTTATTAAATTATAAGAATAAGCTTTACAGTTATAATTAACTACAAAGGAAGAACATTGTATGAACAACTTATCAATTTTTAATAATTTCTGTTTTTAGGTGTGAAACAAGTAAAAAGCAGTAGAAAACATAATCTATGGATTCACAGAAATAGAATTTGAACAAAGATAAAATTTTACATTCTATTCATATTTAAAAGAACTAAATGTTGAACTAGAACTTATGACCTTTTGCTGATTGCTGAAAAGTCAATTTACAACAAAAATTGATGAAAATAACATAAAAGTAAGTACAAGACATATGCCAAATTCTACATGGTAAGTGGTAAATATTAAGTATTAATAATAATTCCCAAAGCACATATTTCCAGCAATTATTTGAACAATTTTAACCTTTTAAATTGGCTTGATATTTAGTATAATATGGTTTGCTCAAAACATGAAAAAGATTCAATAATAAATATTAACTTAAACATTATTTAGGTTGTGTGTAGAATATCTCTCTATTATTGTTTCAAATATTGTAGATTAAACTGTAAATTGGTTATGTCATGACAAGTTTTTCAAACTAATTTGATTAATGATTCTAT